AGAGCCTAGGAAAGAAAAATCTAGACCAGTGAGTGCAATGGAATAGTAGTAATGGTAATAACAGCTGACATTCATGGAGCACCATGTGCTGGGCATGTGCATCCTAAGAACCAGAACTAGGAGACAAAAGCAAATGTTTCCATGCTGCATAAATGGAAATAATTTGAGACTAGAAGATACCTCCTCACAAAAGAGACTAGGCTGTGGGAATCGAGCAACAGAGAACCTTCAAAGAAATAACCGTTGTTACCTATATGCTTGGAATCAAATGAACCTTTTACCATGCGGGTGGAGTACGTTTTATTCTCCCGTCTTCGGGACATGGAGAGCTCACCATTGCTCACCCACGGCAGCCCCTGCAGAAGGAGAACTGCCACTCGGGAGCCACCGGCCTTAGCGCGATGACAGCCAGCCACCTGGATCCCACTGACAGGACAACTGGTCTCGTCTACCTACAGCCTTAGAAAGAGCAGAGGCATCTGTCTGCCAATCTATCGTCAGGCAGCCAGCACCAGGGGTCAAGGGACACTGAAAGCGTAACCTGTGACTCCTGGGAACAGGCAGGTGTGTTCCGGGAGCCAGGCCAGCCCCGGCCAGCCCGGAACCAGGTGGCCCTGGGCTTTAATCATGACGCCCTGCTTACCAGCCGCACGGCCTTGGGCGGATTGCAAAACCGCTCCGCCCATTTCCCCATCCACACACTGGCGAGTGGCAAGACTAATCTCTCGTGTGGGGTGTCGTAAGTACAGGAGATGTGTGGAAAGAGCCTAGAATTAGGTGTTCTTACACACACGNCCACACACTGGCGAGTGGCAAGACTAATCTCTCGTGTGGGGTGTCGTAAGAAGTATAGGAGATGTGTGGAAAGAGCCTAGAATTAGGTGTTCTTACACACACGCACACACGGGAGGAGACTTGCAGGGGATGGATGGGTTTATGGCATTGATTGTGGTGATGGTGTCACGGGTGTGTACTTACCTCCAAACTCACACGTTAAATGTGTTCAGCTTTTCGTATGCCATACCTCAGCAAAGTGGTTAAAAAGCAAAAATAACCCAGAACAATGCCAGTGACAGAGGAAACTTTCAAGAATTGTCTCATTCTTTCCCCAAAAGCGGTTTCTTTGCCGTTAAGATGCAGAGGAAATTCACTCCCTCGTTGAATTGAGCAGCAGGTGTTCCCTGCTGAAGGGGGGGAGCCCAGCCCAGGACCACTCATCCAGCCGGGCGCCGGGCCTCTCTCTCTCTGATTTGCACGAAGGTGTCTGACTCAGGGATGATGAACGTGGACTTCGCCCAGTTTGTGCCTGATGGGGAGACGGACAAGTAATCAAGAATTACAATGCACAGAATCGCTGCTGCTACAGGGAAGGTGCCGTAGGAGCACAGGAGAGATTTTAAATCAGACACGGCGAGGGTCTGTGACTTCTGGAGGAGGCTGTGGAGAAAGATGTCCCAGGCAGGGGAGTCACATTCAAGTACTTACCCATTCATCCTGTCAGTAAACACGATCGAGAATCTACCATGTTCCCGCGGGGAGTAGAGCAAAACCTCCCTTCTTGTGGTTCTGAGAGAGACAATAACTGAACTGGGAGAAGATCAGGGAGCACGGCGAGCTTTAGAGCATAACGTGGGCGTGGCGGTGGGGGGTACGGGGGCTACCTCAGGCTGGGGCGTCCCGGGGAGGCGTCATTTAAGCTGAGATCTGAGTGGCAGTTGTGGGAAGCTCAGGAGGCGTCCTATCGGGCAGACGGAGGAGCCGTTACAGGAGGTCTTAAGGGGGCGTGGACTTTGTATTTGGGGGGGGGGCAGAGATGGCTGGTGAGCCTGAAGCACGGTGGATGAGGGGAGGCCCGGGAGATGGGGTGGAGAGGGAGGCGTCAACCCTGCAGAGGCAGGCGAGGCCCAGCAGCTTGAGCATGGGGAACTCAGGGACCTGCTAGGGGTTCCCTCCCGTGTGCAGGGCTCATCCTGTGACAAGTCTGGGCAGCGTGATGTGGACAGAGGTCCTGGGGAAGGTGTTCTTTCCTGAATGAAGGGGCGGAGCCCGGTTGGGAGGAAGCCCTTTGTCATGTTCCTAGTTACTTGGTGACTCAGTGCTGCTGGGAGTCTTCTACTTTCTTCAAATACATTGCAAAACCAGTGTTGAGTTAGGGGCCCTGTCTTACAAGGTCTGTGGCTAAATCTTTCTGTATTTGTGCGGATCTGGAGTTAAACTGTAGATGTAAAGACACAGTTAAGGTGATTTTATCAAAAGTACGGAGTTCATTATACCAAAAGTAACACGCCATGTGTACAATGTCGCTCCCTTTTCATGGCCCAGAAAAATCTAGTCAAGGAGACGTTCAACAGCCATTGAACCTATACTACCCGTAATTACAAATAAAGTACTTGTCTATGTGCCGTGAGGGATACAGGTGATGAAAACGTCTTAATCTTAGGAAGCTGACAGTTCCATGAGATGACAGTGTGTTTACAAATAAATGTAAACCCGGTATGTACGTGGCCATGGCTAGTTGCCCCAGAGAAGCCTCTGAGCCACCACGAGTGGATGCAGATGACAGGACTGTGCCCCACACGCAGGCAAAGCACACGTTTCGAGGCCGGGAGCCTGGAGAGCAAGCCTGGGTGATGTAGCTCGCAGAGCAGCAAAACTGGCCTCCCTCGTTTCTGCTTGATAAGGAGCCTGGGGCTATAAAGCAGTTCCACACTCCTCCAGCCTGGGGCCATCTCCCTCCACGTTAGCCAAGGTCGCTGGGCTGGGTCTGCAGTCACCGGGAGGGAGGGCAGGAGGGACGCAGTGGGAGCCGTCTGCCCCCTACATCCTGACTGGTGTGCCCGCTCTGTGCCCGCTCCGTGCGGCTCGCTTGCTGCCTCAGGATGAGGGGTGTGAGGTCCACCCTGAGGCACTGCCCTCTGAACAGCACCTCTCAGCAGGCTGTGTGGCCCACAGAGCCTTACAGGGAGATTTAAGGGTCCTGAGGAGCGGAAACAATACTGGCCGCGGGCTTCATGAAGGAGGTGGCGTCCGAGCTGGGTCTTGAGAGACGGGTCACGTTCTGCAAGGTGAGGATGGGAGGAAGGCGGTCCGGAGACCTTGGGCCCACACGGGTGACACGCTGGGCGGAGAGCAGGGCTGCGGGCCGGGCCACCGGGCGTTGCAGGCAGCGGTGAGCGGTGGGCTGGACGGGCGTCCAGGCCGGGCTCGGAGGGCTAGCATTCAACGTCCGGGGGAAGGGGAGCCACGGGAGGCTTCTGAGCAACGGTTAAGGCGCGTGAGTTAGCAAAATAAACCTGGCAACATCGTCCTGTGCGAAACGCGGGTGACGTAGCTCGGAGGTCCCTTAAAATGGCCAGGACCCCCGAGGCCACGTGCGGCTGGAGAACAGCCCTCGAGGAGCCTTAGTACCAAACGGCTCGCTCTGTGCGTGGGGTCGGGGTGGGAGGTGCTCAGCCCAGAGGGGGCCCCGTGTGAGCCAGAGTCCGACTGGGACCCGGGCGACAACAGCCCTGCCGGGAACGCACGCGGGGAAGACAGGAGAGGGCTGGGGGCCCCGGGAGCTTGGGGCGCAATGCACAGAAAATGCGGGAGGAACTCAGGGGGCAG